ATAGTCCGTTTACAGTGGAGAAATCTGGAAGACAACACCTTTCCCAAATTAACAGCACCAGCAATAAGATATGTCAATATCATGTTCCTGCCTTTATAACACACCAAGGACACATCATTTCTGGAATGTTCTTGCCCAAAATATATAAACTCAGTGTCAGCTCAAGAAGATATCAGACAAGCCCAAATTGAAAGCTAATCTACTAAATTATTAGCTGATAGGCCTCAAAAGTTTATGAAATATAAATACTGAAGAGCTGTCCCAGATTGGAGGAGACTAAGGAGTGACCTGTGCTTTGTAAAGCCACAGGCTGTTTCTCAGACCCCCTTTATGTGTACTCAACAGCATGTGGTAGCTCTGATTATTGCTCTCTCCTTTTAACACTCTGGCTTTCCAAAAGGTTACCTTCTCCCAGTTTTCTTCCTATGTCTCTGACTCCTTTTCAAGCTCACGGTCCTTTTTTTGACCATCAACATCAAAGTTCATCACAACTGGGTTCCTGGCCCTCTTGTACTATCTTTTCATCTCTCCCAAGGTGATCCCAACTATGCTCTTGACTTCATTAATTTTTATATTTTAATGACTCAAAGTTTATCTCCAGCTCAGATGTTTTTGCAACAATATTCGTTCTCTTCCACCTTCTTTCTATTGTCTTGCAAAGGAAAGTGCATCTGTATCCCATTAGATCTATGAATGCAATATTCTGGACTATGTGACCCATTATGCTTCAGGTCTCAGAATGAAATAGGCAGAGCTGTTGCTAAAATGAAGTTGGCTGTTTGAAAGGGTGGACAAATCCCTTGGAGTCAAGAACTACAAGCCTCTTTTGCTTTGACTTGGGGCATTCTGAAAACATCAGTGTAGATCACCTCTATCTCAGAGCTTAGCATCAGCAAATCCTGTTTGAAACTGTAGAAACAAATGTTGATAAACAGATTGAGTATTTTATCCTCTTGATTTACCATAATCCTTTTAGGCCCCATCTCTGAATATAAATGTTTTGTGAGCTTGTAAATCATGTAAGCAATAACTAGATGTGCCCATAACATGTAACTGGCAACCAGTTTCTCTGCATGGGGCCTCAAATGCAGATATTTCACTCCTTGATTGTAGATCACTTTAAATTGATTGTAACTTTAACTCTTTTCTCTTCATCTTGTTTCTCATATGAAACCTTAACTAACAATGCCTCAGAATGAAGTTCTGTTGACATCAGATCTTTGAGGAGAGGCTATTGGCATAATCTGCAAGAGCTAGGTTCAAGGTTGGCAGCACAGTCAAGGTTAAAATCCATCTTATGAGCATATCTAATGCTAGAGTAAACAAAGCAAAGTCCTTGTTTTGATAGAATATATATATATACACACACACACACACACACACACACACACATATTTACACATATGTACATATACATATATATGTATGTGTATATATATTTTATATATACATATTTATATATATGCACATACAAATATATAATATGTATAATTACACTATGTATGTAGTATATGTATAGTACTTAAGTAACTGTATTTTGTATGTATACATTATACATATATGTGTGTATCTATGTGTGTATACTTATATATATGTGTGTCTGTATATGTATATTCATATATATATATATATAGAAGGAACAGCAAATCCCAAGGCCTTGAGCCAGTGGCCAGTTTGGCATCAACAGGGAACGTTGTAAAGGCCTCTGTGGCTGGATCAAAGTGGGAGAAAGGGGATCAGATGAGGGCTGGAAGTGAGCCAGGGGTCATACCATGCACGTCATTGTATATAACTAAGAGGACTGTGGTTTTCTTCAAGGTTTTAGTTGATTTGGTTTGGTTTCTTTTGTTGTTGTTTTTGTTTTTTTGGAGGTGGGGATTGAACTTGGGCCTCACAAATGCTAAGCACACATGTTAACCCTGAGCTATATCCCAGCCTAATAGTTTTAGTTTTTGAGCAGAGGAGAGATACAATGAGATTTGTCTTTTAAAAGGATTACTTTGGCTGCCTGCACTGTGAATAATAACTAGGTTATTTGTGAGGAGATATAGACAAATATGGGGAAAATAAAGCTGCTGGGTATCCCTTGGCAAGCTCACAGTCTGCTGGGGAAGACTGTGAACAGAACAGAAAAGCCAGTCTGTTCTTTCTTCTGCAGAGGTCACTGTAAGCAGTGGTCATCTCATGGTGAGTCCATTGTTTTCAGGTCCTTTGGAATTTTTTCTGTTAGCTAACTCACATTTTTTTTCTCTCAACCTCTCTTTCCTTTTAACCACTTTCTCTAGATTTTTTTCATTATTGCTTTAAGGACAACTCATTTTTCTTGATCTGATTTCTTCTTCAAACCTCTCTTCCATCTGTGATTCCCACAATTCCAATGAGACTCAGTTTCTTAAAATTCACCTGTCCTCTGTATGCCAACTCTCACATACCGTTAAAACTTCTTGCTAAAGTCTTTGTGATTCCCCTTTGAACAAGGACAGAAAAAAAGAAAGAAGAAGAATATTTATTAAGAATTTGCGGGGCTGGGGATGTGGCTTAAGCGGTAGCGCGCTTGCCTGGCATGCGTGTGGCCCGAGTTCAATCCTCAGCACCACATAAAAACAAAGATGCTGTGTCCACTGAAAACTAAAAAATAAATATTAAAAAGTCTCTCTCTCTCTCTCTCTCTCTCAAAAAAAAAAAAAAAGAATTTGCACTGGGTCTGGCACTGTGCATGTTGATACTTTCAAATACACCTTATGTAATTCTAGATGAGGAAATAAAATTACTGGAAATCCTTGGACTTCACTTCTAAAGATTATTCTCCCTTTCTATTCTGCACCTGTACTTTCAGATCCCCTCTTTGGTCATAAGATGCTTGTTTCCCTCTTTGGCCTTTATGGGTTTTTAAACTGCAGTCTTTCAGTTTGGGAACTGGGGCCATCAGTCTATCACTAAGTATTTACTTAGCCTCACCAGAGTGAGGGCAGTTGTAGAACTAGCATGATAATGTTAACACCTTTTACAGCTCAGGGTGTGCAGGCAGGCATAATCAGTATTTCTTGATGGCTGTTAGATTGGAATTGTTCCTTAAACCTAAGAAAACTATTATTACAATGCCTTTCTTTGGCTACTTTCCATGTAAATAAAAGAAATTGCTCAGAGCGTTAGGATCCTTTCAAGAAAACCAAGGGCTATGTGGATTTGGGAAGTAAAACCTTAATTTTCTACTCTCAAATCATACCTATAGCCCACCCCAGTGCCTTGCATATTGACCAGGGGAGGGGATGGTCATAAGATGCTTGTTTCCCAGCATCCCGGTGAGGTTGTGTCCCTTTGACTCCTGAGATGCCCTTTGTCGACCAGTGTTCAAGGAGATGCAGAGATGTCTGTGATGTATAAATACTTAGGTTGGGGGAAACCCTGAATGGTCCATTCAGCTGCTATAACAAAATACCATAGACTAGAAAGTCTATAGATAACAAATTTATTTCTCTCAGTTCTGGAGGCTGGGAAGTCCAAGATCAAGGTGCCCCAGAGTCAATGTCTGATGAGACACCACTTCCTGGTTCACAGAATGACACCTTCTTACTGAATTTTCATGTGGTGGAGGGTCAAGAAACCTCACTTGGGACTCTATTATAAGGGACCTAATCCAATTCATGAAGGTTCTGTCCTCAAGACCTAATCTGTCTGCAAAAGGCTCCACTTCTTAATATCATCTTCTTGGGGTTGGGATTTCAAAATTTAATTTTTCGTGTGGATTCAAACATTCAGACCACAACCTCTTTTATGGCAGCTTTTTCAGAAGCTCATCAAATATGCTATTTTTTTCTCCATAAATCATGGGAATGATACAGAAATTCCAATTCTATTATTCCATGTAATAACTATATACATTTATATATGCTTTAGGAGTAGCATGTTCAGTAGCTAACTGGTAGAGTGGGTAAGATTAAGCCCTACCCAGAAGGAGTTCAGACTCCTGAGATGCCTGTGCCACCTTATCTTGGACTTCCCAGTAATCCCCATTTGCTCACCTGCAAGTGAACAAAATGGAGGAGGTGCCTCTCATCCATTTGGCAACTCCTCTAGAGTAGCACTGTGTGCCAAATATACTGCTAAACTCTAAGTTTATACTAGTGATAGTCTGACTTCATGACATAGGAATTCCAGGGGAAGCCTTCAGCAGTCAGCAAGTAAAAGCAAAACTGTAAATAAGTTTACAGTGACCAAATGTGGTAAGAAGCTACAGAGGGCAGTGACAGCATATCAGAGAAAACCCTCCTA